GTGATTTTAATTGATATTGGAAATGAAAAATAAAAAATAAAGTATTTTAAATTGTATGGGGCCCACCCCCACTTGAGATATTTAGATGGCCAAGAGGCCATTTCTTGGCCTCCATTTCATTCTTCTATCTCTCTCCACATTTTTCTCTCCTTCCCTCATTCTTTTTATTATTATTATCCTACAAAGCTTAAGGCTTGATTTCTCTTAAATCTTTGGGAATTTTGTTGTGCTGTTTACGGCAAATTGAAGAGCACGACGAGATCCACGTTTTGATCGGAGCCAACCTTCATTTGGCCACTATTTTGGGGATCTCAAAATTCTAGGGTTTGAGGTGAATTTGGGGCTTTTCTTCAATTAGAGGTAGGGGTCTCTAATACATGGTTCTTCTTTTACTCTTGTGAATTTAATTCTTATAATTTGTCGAATTGCATATTTCATTAGTATTAGTTCTTGGAAATTATTTAAATTCCATGTTTAAAATTGTGACAAGGTGTTATTTGATATATTGTGTTTAAGCATGCTTATGTGAAATGATATTTTGTGATTTATATGCTTAGTATGGTAGAAAAATGTGAAATGGAAACAAGAGTTGTGTACCTTAGTGATTTAATTATAAAAGCATATGCAAACTCTTGTAGTTGAATTGATGAATGAAGCATGAAGCATTCATGCATCAATTGGGAAAGAAAAAGGGGAAAAAATGTTTTAAAACAAATGAAATTGTTTTGGGAAAATATTTTTCAAAGGCGTTTGCAAAAACCGGACGCCTAGGAAACGCCTAGTGGTCCGTGTTGTTAGTGTAGTCTAGAAGGGAGTTTGGTTGAGCTAACTAAGCCGAATACGATGCCTTTGAGGTGCCTAGTGGTCGTGGATAGTTAGTCAACCCTCCATTCGTGATGCCTTGGAGGTGCCTTGGGTCGGATAACACTAACGGTTTGAAAGTTGAAACGAAAATGTTTCGAATATGGGTAGTAACATTTGCATGACATTGCGCTTCATTAGACTATATGGTGTGTATGTGTTTAGATGATAATTGTTATATACTTGTTGTTATAGTTGTTGCCATGTATCCCCGTATATTATGATCCCATTTTCTCTATTACCTATTTTTTATGTGGATTCATAGGGTCATAAGAAGTGTGTCTTAGGCACCACCTATTGAGCTTTGGCTCACCCTGTTGTTATTTAACATTTTTTAGGGCTTGGGAAGGAAGTGGCGGATGACGGTCCACCACAAGTCTAGTTCGAGGACTTAAAGTTTATTTTTGCTGTCTTTTGTGCACTTGTATCCATTCTTTTGTAGACCCTCATTTTGAGAATATATTCATTTTGTAAAGCATGGCCGTGTGCTGTAAATGTAATACTTAATGATAGTTGATGTAAACTTGAAACCATATCGCTATATTATAATGAATGAGAAGTGATAACATATGTTGTACATGATATTGATGTCTTTAGCTGTATAATATTATGCATTGTTCTATGAATTTGGGATTGAATGAACATCAAGTTTGTCTCACTAAGAGGTTAGGATTTCTGGACTTTCAAACTGCACTTAGCAACATTCCAGGGCTCATCAGCCGACTGACAAGGCATATCAGCCGGCTGACAAACCATTTTGTAGCACTCTAGAGAGTTGGAACTTGCAAAAACTTGTTCGGCCGGCTGAACCTCTTTATCATCTAACCGACCCTCTTATATCAGCCGGCCGAACCACAATATTAGTCGGCTGATAGACCACTGTAGCAAAGTCTCGAGATCTTGCAACTTTGAGAATCATTTCAGCTGACTGACCATCTCAGTCAGCCGGCCGACCATACAGTTTCAGCCGACCGACCCTTCTTCTTCAACCGGTTTACCGTTCCCCTTTGACCCGTGTTTTGATCCTCACTTGTTGAACTGTGATTCCGGGGTTCTTTAGGCCATGTAATGAATGGAAATTAATCATGAGCATAGGAAATGATCATTGTTCTCTTGTGATCTCGGGTTCGGGTAAGGGACCCGGTTAACGGTTCGGATCCACGGGTTTGGGTCGTTACATACGCCTTAACTACAAAATTAATGAAAAATGCTCCCATCAACCCTAAATATGCATGTGAGGGTCCGTCATCTACCACATTATCGTCGTAACCTAAAAAATGATAATGGAAGTGGTGAGCACGGAGGCTCAGTAGGAGATGCCTAAGGTGCCGACTTTGGACTCCCTTGAGTCACACATCACACAATGGGGATTTAAAGAAACCGGGATTATACTTTGGGGAAATTTTATAGCATTCAAATCACAAATCATTCTCATCAATAACACATATACCGCTTATCACAATATTGCATAAAAATGTAATGCAATGCACAACCGTCCTTGAACTTGGTCTCTACCGACCTAACTTGCATTTAAAAACTGCTAACTAACTTTACCGAGGTGAGATTGAGTTACTATCCCTGGTTCTAAATTCGGCAACCATCTGGGGCCTAGTAATTAACTTTTCACGTCTAAAACCGGCACACGCCCTCTCTAGGTCAAATTAGTACTAGACTCGCAAAATCCGGTTTAATTTATAAAAACACCATTTCATACCCTTTCTCATCCCACTTTCTGCCATACTATGCATATGTTCTAATTACATCAATTTAACTTCATTTCCATTCATGTGACAACAACGGAATAAACATAACATTCTCTTAGAATTAGGCACAAACATAACATTTTCATAAATCAATTACAAACATGGCATCCTCCAAAAATAAACACATAGCATGGCCTAGAAATCAACCACAAGCATGTTCATCATAAAATTTTACATCAATTTAATCATGTTATCTTCACACATTAACCATCTTTACATGGAAGTAACACAATAGTCTTAATTAGCATGAAATACACTATTTTCATCACACATAACATGCTTAAAACACATCATCATATAACCATCAACTTATTCACTTATTTGTCATTCAAGAATGAGATTAAAGTGAAAGTATGGAAGATTACTCAAAGAAAGGAAAAGTATAAAGCATTAGGAAACCCCTACCTCAATGGAGCCAGCCAAACAAGCCCTTAACCCTAGCCAATTTTAGAAACTCCCCTAACCCATGCAACATTGGTGTCAAAATGAAGCCATTGTCATGCTCTTCAACTTTTCCTGCTATGGCTTCATCAAAATCTCACCCTAACCTTCTCAAATCCAACCTTGAAGCTTGGAAGACATTGTAGGCATATATGTGTATAGATATAGATAGAGAAGGAGAAGAGTTAGAGAGAGATAAAGAGCAAAGCGACCAAAATGGGAAGGAAATGAGGAGAAGGTTTTGTTTTCCAAATGGGTGAATGGTCCTCCTTAAGCCACTTGTCAAGCTTTGGTGGTTACTAACTTTTTGTCAAGTTACTTCCTTGCCCTCATCCTTCCTTTGCAATACCCATCAAGTCCCTAAAATAACTACCTTAATGTATACATACATATACTTATATGCATGTGAAATGCCAACAACGCCCCTCACTTAAAATGAGAAAATCGGAAGAAGTTTCTGAGCCCGAAAGTCTTCTCTCACCCGCTGATGAATCTGAATCAATGGTACTTCCACAAAGAAATCAGGTTTTTTTGCATTCAGGCAATCCTTCACAAAAGCTTTTTTCAATGTTTAAGTTCATAAGGATTGGAGAGAGATGGCTGTGTACCTTCCAAACATACAAGAGGAAGTAGAGTACTGACACCTTTGTTGGAGTACGAATATCAGCTCTTTTTTATATGTAATTAGTACAAATAAAGCTACTTGAATGAGCAGCGCGCATAAATTGCTACATAATGATTAATGAACTTGATGAGACGTCTCCCTCAAATGGGATGTGAGGAATTTGACTCCACGTGAACATTTGTGTGTTTGTGTGAGAGTATTTACCTAATATATAAATAATAATTATAAAAAATAAAAATAAAAACCTGGAATTTCGGGAGAAGCTTCTTCATTATTGAATAGTTGTCCTCATAGTACTCCTCCCAACCTTAAGAGAATATTGTTATGGAAAGTGAGGCCTAAGCTATGGCAAGAGCAGTCACTGATGGGAAGTGCTAAGTCAGTCTGAAGGATATTAGGAGTCACCATGTCACGGGCCTATTAAGTCACCAAGCGATTCACATTATGGTAATGCTCTAATATTTCCAATAATATGATTAACTTGGTGAATTAGAACTACTGAGTCACTGGTGAGAAATTAAATCTCCATACGTTTCACATTATGATCATGCTCTGATTTTTGCAATCAAATAATTAACTTGGCATTTAATATCACTGACCAAACAATATGACTGCAAAAAGGGAAGTTATTTTTATCACAAATCATAAATTTTTTATTTATTTTTAACAAACACAAATCATAATTATCGTTGAAGCTGAGCATCTGTATCTCAAAAATCTAGCATGAAAATCTTTTAAACGTTACTTATGAAGCTGCTTATGTCCATATACTTAAAAGAAATGCATAGTGTGTGTGTGTGTGTGTGTATGCCTTCACTGGCACAGTGTTGTATAGTCTCTTGGGATGAGGAGTGATGTGATTTTCACATCCTTCTGTACATAATCCAAGCAAGATTCAAGGACATTCATTTGAGCTAGTGATTGGATTCTCACAATTAAATTGAAATCTCCAGTCAATTTATCAAACAAAAATGTCTTCGAGTGAAAAAAAAGAGAAAAAATTTACAATTAAATTACAAATGTGCCATGTACTACTGTTGTTGTGAATTAGTCTAATCTAATTTTCTTTTAACCGTCGACTATATATAGAGATAAAACTACACTCTTCCTGCATTCACTTTTTTAGCATTCAACGACTTTGTCCACCAATAGTGGACATGACACACAAATTGCTTGTAAAATCAGTGTCAAAGAAGACCTCAATCAATAAGTGCATGTCATCAGTTTTGGACATGAAATATACAATCTCTTTTTTTCCTCTTGATATGCATCAACTCTATCACTACAACTGTATGCACTAGGAGCAACTTCTATCTAGCTTCCATTACTATTATTGTCAAGGAATTTCCAGTATGAGTTCTCTCACCTCTTGATGTCTCTGCATCCATGGAACTTCTTTCGACAAAGAAACCAGGCTGTTTGGGTTCAGGCAATGCCACCCCCTCATTACCCAGCATGAAAACTACTGATGACATGGTTGGTCTGTCTTTTGGCAATTTCTGAACACACAATAGACCCACTTGAATACATCTTAGTACTTGAGATTCAATGTATGAATTTTCCAAACATGAATCCACTAATTCCAGGGCTCTATGATCATTCCACAGCAACCAAGCCTATAACAATCACAATCCTCAAATTTAGTATTTCACATAAGAAGTTAGAGAGAAATAAAACAAAACAAGATACATTTCACCGTACATGTCCCAAAAGCGAATGATAATGATTGGGATGATGAAATTTCCAGTTCCTTTTGCCACTCACTATCTCGAGTAAAAGTACGCCTAAGCTAAAGACATCAGATTTTTCTGAAAATTTTCCATCAATGGCATATTCCGATGACATGTAACCACCGCATAAAATTATCAAATTTAACCATTTGAAAATGATAAACAAGTACTATCTGGAATTTGTTTACAAAACTTACTATGTTCCGATTACTCGCTTTGTTGTGGCTTCAATTTCATCTCTCCCAAAACTTCTGGCTGTCCCAAAGTCAGAAATCCTGGGACTTAGTTCATCATCTAGTAAAATGTTGCTGGCTTTGAGATCCCTATGAATGATTCTTAATCTCGAGTCCTGGTGAAGGTAGAGAAGTCCCCTTGATACACCCATAGCAATTTCAAATCGCTTTTGCCATGGAAGTTCTAGTTTTCTATTCTGATCTGCATGACATTTCCATTCTGCATAAATGGATAAAATGCACTATGAAATTGGTCTACAAAGATAAATGGTCAAGAGAACTAGACCAAATTCGGCATGTACTTGTATAGTAGCATCCTCTCTTTTCCTTCAATGCAACAACCCAACAGCCTAACAAGATTCCAGTGTCGAAGTTTGGAAATCAACATGACTTCATTTTTGAACTCTTGTAGACCTTGTCCAGAATTATTCGAAAGCCTCTTGATTGCTATTTCTTGTCCCGTTGTTAGCTTACCCTATAAGTTTTTTAATAGCAATGTAAAAATCATGTGGTACAAATTTTTTATTAAATATCAAACAGAAGATTACTTTTTAACCTTATAAACTGGACCAAAACCACCCTCTCCGATCATATTTGTGGAACAGAAGTTCTGAGTTGCATTTGCAATAGTGTCCAGATCAAAAAATGGTAACTCAATGTCTTCATTCTTAGTTTCGATACCTGCAAGATCAAAAACGTTATACATGCAACTAGTTAACTTTCATCATTCAAGTAACTGTCTGGCATCGTTAGCTAGTTGTTTATTTGTTACAAGACTTTCCTGATAATCATTGACGTTATTAGCACCACAATCTTCTCCCGGTCTTACAAGAGAATCTTCACCTAAAGTTTTTTCCTTTTCTAATTGTAGTACATACTGTATCTTTCTATCATACTCTAGCAGATTTTAGGAGATTTAATCTCCCTTTCTACTTGGAGGGCTCTTCTACCATAATAATTAAAATTGAAATATCTGTTGGACCAATAGAAGGTCACATGTGGGGGCGTGTCAATAGATGTTTTCAAGACACACAACTACACACCCTTCATGACAAATAATTTCTCTGTTTCTTTATACTCATCCTGAAAAAATCATGCAAGCGTAAGGTAAAGTATTCTGATTAAGCCACATACGAAAGAAAAAAAAAAAAAGCTTTGGTTGGATGACTTTATCAATAGTGTATAGCATTCAGATTATAACAACCTGCCCTTTTTGGCCCCCGGGGGCGTAGCAGTGATGGTAGGAGCTCGGCGTTTGCACTTCACAGGCCAGTGTTCGAACCTCCCAAGCCTCCTATGTTCTGGACTCATCCTGTGTGTGGCTATGGGGCTGTGCTACATTACCCCCAGTTTGGCGCCATGGGATGGGGTCTCTAAGGGGCCTTATTTCAGGGAGTTCTGGGTCAATTAAAAAAAAAAAAAAAATCCTGCCCTTTTTGTAGAGCTAAAGTGGCTCAATTAAAGTGACTAGGTAGAGACCTAGATAGAGTGGCAAAGGAAATAAATTTGAAAATCTTGACATTTGATGCCGACAAGACACGAGAAAGACATAAAATAGGAACTTGGAGTCTAACTAAAAATGGGGTAAGAACTTGTAGTCTTCTAGATATCTTACCTTCTCTCTTCAGCTTCCTCCTCCTTAAGAAATATAAGAGAAAGAACAGGCCTAGGAGTACCACTGCAGCAAGTAATATAGGAATGATTATAATCTTCAATCGTCCCTTTACATGGGAGCTGCTATGTGTTTCTGCACAGTCAAAATTTACCACAATGTAAAGCAACCAGTCGTATATTTTAAGGCAGGAAAACTAAGAAATAAAGCAGCAGTAAATAAAGGGAGTTGCTATGTGTTTCTGCACAGTCAAAATTTACCACAATGTAAACCCATCCACTCGTATATTTTAAGGCAGGAAAACTAAGAAATAAAGCAGTAGTAAAAGAAGACACTTTCAGTTGAAAAGATAACAACTTTCTTTTATATTTCCAAACAGAATGTAAAAGCTACTCATCTACATGCTTGGGAATATATATCATACCTAACTCAGAGGAGGCCATTCTTATGTAAATATCTTGTCCAATTTCTCCGAGGTCCCTAATATCAATCAAGTCATCAAACCAGAGCATGCAGCCACTTCCTCCTACTGTTACGTCTGTATTTGCATAAGCCATACAAGAACAGTTTTTTGCGCATACCGTCTCACACTCCTTGAGGGTCATGCTCATATTAAACCAGGAATACCGTGGGTCAGGCAATTTAACACCGGAATACTTGAGAAATCCATTTGATGATCCATTGTGGCAATCTAAGGGTGTTCTTCGAACACACCCACCAGACCAATCTGCTGTGTCCCAATCTTTTGGGTATCTTGGCATAAATTTATCAAGACACCTACACATCGGGGAGTTACCAATGTTGCAGCTACCATGGGCCTGACATAGCCCAAAAGAATCACAGTTATCTGCTGATGTATTCACGTAAACTACCCATTCCTGTGTTTTATAATTCCATGTCAAGCGCTGTATTATTCCATTCTGATTCAAAACCCGCTGTGAGAAAACTGAGCTATTAATAAGATCATATTCATAATACACTTCCTGCTGATCAAAAACAGAATGGTATGTGTAGATGCTGTTTGGTAGTAAACCCATCGCGCCACTAGAGCGGATACCATTCCATGGTCCAGAACGGTATTGCTCAACTGAACCTTTTAGGAGGAAAAATTGTGGAAATCCACGAAGATCAATTCCATGAGAATACTCACCTTTAGAAGGGTCATCACTGGACTTCCATGACCATATACGCCGATCAATTCCGGTTACTAGGTTCTTTCCAAACTTCATGCCTGGCAACTGTGTGTCACATGGATAATCAAAACTCTGCCATAGGAAATTCTCATCATTTGCATCTTTGACAACAAGATTACCCGAATCCAAAAGCTATGCAACTGGGTTCACTGTGTTGTTATTTGATGATGAATTTGAAGACGACTAGAAGATGCTGTTCGTACTATTGACAAGCACGAGAATTCCTCCACTAGCAAGCTTTAAGACACCTCCTCCTAAAGTGTCGGTAAGTGGAGTATCTCTGTTGGCAACCCATACCACAGTCCCATCAGATATTTTCTTGTACCATATTCCCAAGTATCGATTCCTGGAAGTAGTACCTGAGGGGCTGAAAAATCCCAGTTCAAATGTTCTATTTGCAGAGACCATGGTTTGCCCATCAGCAAGAGATTGAGTTATACTTATGGTGTCTAATTCAACTGCATAAGAGATTATTTTTAACATGGTAAAAATATAATACAAGAAAAGATTTATAGCAAAGCCATAATTCTTCGATGATGTACTCATGTTTCACATATGAGGTGTGTATTTCTTTGTTTCTTAGTTCAGAAACCCATAAGATAGATGGGTTGGCAGATGGCAAACAAGAGAAAAGTCAAATCAGAAAGTCCTCAAAGTCTTCCGTTCCTGCTTTTTACGCTACTAAAATTTAAATATATAAATGTGCAATTAATTTAGTCATGTAAATTTGGTCGGTTCAATAATCAACCTAGTCATTTCAGTATTAACAATTGAGCTAGGCCTCCTTTTGTGACTCATAATTGGCATTTCAATTGGTGGTCCCGCACCCATTTGATTAAACTTTGGTTAATTCTCTCCACATAGTTAGGGATGGCAACGGGTGGATTTGGGCAAGTATACCCTCCCCTGCTTTTGCAACCATTTAAAAACTTCGTCTCCGTCTCAGTCTCCGTCTCCGTCCAAAACCGCAAAAACGGGAGACTTTCCATCCTATTCTCGTCCCCATTTAACATTTTTAACCCTGGTACCTGTCTCGCCCCATTTAATACCATAATTTATTTATTATTGAAATAGATTTGTTTGTTTGTTTGTTTTTTTTTTTTTCATTTATTACTTTAATATTATTATATAGATAAAATAATAATGCTCACGTGGTTACAACATTTGATACAAATTATGCGGCCATTCATTATCCCTACCTTAGAGTCCTCTATTATATATATATATATATATTGCAGCAACCCTAAACTGATACCTTTTTTAAAAAAAATTTTGGCATGACCTCCCCTAAAAAGGGGACTACAACCACCTGCTCAAAAAAAAAAAAAAAAAAAAAATGCAATGGCCTTTCCTGGCCTTTCAAAACACCTCAAACATGTCCCAACACATAATACAATTAATATACTCCAACATCCCATCCATCCGTTCATTATACCTCAACATGGCTCATCACATGGTGGAACATCTACATACTGTTTAATCCAAATCATCATAATTACAGTCCCAAAATATTGTTACAATAACAAGAGTTCACAAATCTCTATACCAAATAAAACAAACTAAGATTTTACAAAAATATGGGACTTAATATAAAAATAGCAAAAAGAAGTCCAAAACATTTAATCCACATAGTTCCGTGGTTATCATATAAGCAAGTTTTTCATACAACATATTTAACACACATTCTCACATGTTCATATATCTCAATCAAGTCAATTTAAATTATAATTAACATAATTAAGTATTCTAAGACACAAATCAAGTAGATCAACTCACTAAAGTACAAGATTTCATGGATTAAGGACCCCTACCTCAAGATTGGACAAATCCTTGAAATGGGTTCCAAATTTTGAAATCCAAGGAGGGCGCCAAAGCTGAAATTTCTGGTACTAGTGCGTAGAACTCATCGTGCTCTTCATTTTGCCTAAACGGCACTTAAATCCGGCAAGAATTGAGAGAGAAATCTTGTCTCAAAGATTGAAACTCAAAAAAGAGAAAAAAGAAAACTCTAGAAGGGGAGAGTGAGGTTCCAGCGGGAGTAAAAAGAGAAGAGGCTTAAAACATGCATGTGGGTCCCACAATTTTTTAATTTCTTTTTCCTTTTTCTTTTACTTCAATTTCTACACCACACATATATAATGCAATACATAAAATACCACTTAATCCACATAAATTAAAATGCATAAAATGCAATGGACCTAAGTAAAAACATGTACACAAGACGTGAAAAGACTGAAATATCCTTGCATCAAGGAATTACCGGAAAAATTAAAAATGTAGAAAATTGGAAACGTCACACATATAGACACAAAGATGAAAGCATATATAGACACATGGAAAGGAGAGA